GGCCTGTAAGCTTAGAATGAAAGAAAAAAACTACGAAAACCAATTAAAAATATTTTTTTTAAAGGAAAGGAATTTTTTTTTTATTGATTTAGAGGATATAAATGGACACACAGCTAAAGATTTAACTCTGAAACTGCTTGTCTCCTAGTTTTCAGGTATGCTGGTGAAGATTCTCAGTCATCCAGGTCATAGTCATTCCAAAATAAGATAATTAAGAACAATCCACTGGATTTGTTTCCAAGTTGTTTCCAATTCCCCTTAATGAGCAACCTTTCAGACACTTAGACAGGTATGGGGTATTGCTGTCTAACAAAAGAAACCAAATGACCCCCATTCCAAGGGGTGGACCCCTTCGTCTGTTCCAATTTGCATGTTTTCAAAACAATAACAATGCTTTGTTGGGCTACTGTATAAAACCTGGAACTCAACGCTATTCCTCACATTTTTAATTGAAAAAGCTTCCTGAATGGGAAGCGAGACATCTTCAAACTTGGAAAGTCCAGTGGATTGTTTTTCATTTTCTTTTTTTGGAGTAGTATTCAGGTTAAAGTTCATAAACGACCTAAATTTTCTCCTGTTGCACTTTCTAATTTTCCCACATGTTTAAGCGGTTCCTTGAAACTTTGAGGTTCTGTTGATTTGGAAAATAAAAATTCCACAAGTTTTACTGAACTGCTTCATTGTTTACCATTGCCTAACATGGGCTGCCTCTGTTATTTCCTCACGCTGTTGCAGATGAGAGAACTGCGTCATTTAAGTGATTGATTCAAGCTGGATGAGATTCAAATGGTTTCCCACATCAGGGACGTGTAGATAAAACAAAGGTTTTAACCTCCAGACCCTTTTACTGAGTGTGTCTTTGGATGAAACTCTGCATGCTATTTGTCTATGTTCAAGATAAATTATGATTTTTTAACTTATGCTTCTCTTTCTTCGTTATTTTAATTCCAGAACTTTGCTTTTTTGGTGGCTTTTATCCAGCCCTAGTGTTTCTTTAGTTACAAGTTTCATTTAAACCATTTCATTTAAGCATTTGAATATCATTAAGGATGCTAACCAGCTTCAGCTAATTGGTGTAATCTTTAAGAGTTGTTGGCTGTTTTCAGGATTACATTTATTTAA